CTTTCATCTGCATAAACATCAAACCTGTGATCTTACTTTGGAGACTTTCATGAATTAGTAGTGATCAGGAGAGGGGTTTTTGTTGAAAAAGTTTTAAAAATACTGAGAGGCAACTAGATAGACTTTTATGCCCCTAAAGTCTGAACATGACACTCCTCAGGATAAAAATCTCTGCCTTGTGTAAATTCAGATGGGGAATAAAACTCTACCCCTCTCTTGTATTTGCTTAATGCAAAAGAAGATAACCTACAGATACAAAGGTAACAGAATAACCCACAGCTACTATTTCTTCAGTAAGTAGTATCAAAGTTTATCTGTTAAACAAAATCTTCCTGGAGCCCTTTTTAAGGGGAGTTTGCTGAAGAAAGAAACACACCTTTGTGAAGGGTGAACTGGAAAGCCATCAGAGAATTGAATTTGCATCCTTTTCTTTGGATTTAAGTTACCATTCTTCCTTAAACTCTGCCCTCCCTCCTCTTCCCTCTGAAGTTCAATTTCTCTTTTCCTCTTTCATCTTTTCACTCTTCTTTAATAATTCATTATTTCCTTTCTTCTCTTTCCTTAAATTGTATATAAAAGCTGGCCATAATTTGAAGTGATGGGATGAAAGTAAGGCAGCAAAATACGGTCTCGAAAGTCAAGATTCTTGTGAAGGATCAAAGAATGTAGTGATGCTGTCACAGATGTGAGAGGGGAGAATTTTCACTGTATCTTAGTCTGAGACAGACCAGGATCCTAAGTTTTGCCAAAGGAAGACCTGGAGCCAGCATCAATCTCAGCCACACTCTGATCTTTTTCACCTGCAAATTTTTCATAATGTATTTTCCAATTAAATTAAAATCTACTTGCTTTTATCTTTTTCCCCTTAGATATTCCTAGACTCCAATTCATTCCACAGATCCTCTGTGGGGTGGGTTTGTGGTGCTTTTGCAAGACTGATGTTAAACTTTGTTTGAACACAGCAGGAAGAGCTGAGCTCTGAAGCTCAGTAAGTACCTGCCTGAAATTAGCTGAAAGACATCCATGCTATTCAAGAAATCTTAAATGAGGTGGTGTAAAGACTTTCAAGACAAGAAATAGCAATTTAGAATTCCTGATTTTAATCCAGAAAATAAAAACACTTGTTACATTTGAAACTTGCTGGAAAATTGAAACAGACTGAGATTAATGGGAAAAAGCTTTTGATTATTTAAGTATTTCTTAATTAACAATTAAGACCCTGACAGATGTCATGCCATGAGAACAGCAGGGTTTGGTGCTCACAGTGTTGTTAAGAAGACTCTAGAATGGGAAAGAACAAACCAGAAATACAAATTGTCATATTCTCCCAAATCTGTGAGCTATTGAAATAATTAATTTTTTGGCAGAGATGACTTTTGGTAAAAGTGAGTTGGAGAAGTTCTAGAAAACTACAAAGAATTGAATCAGGGTTTGGAAAGTGGAACCTATTATAAAATATGAATTTATGCACTCACACTCCTATTACAATTACTCATATATCTTATCTCTTTTTCAGTGAGAAAAGTAACTTGTCTGACCCAAAAAATTAAGATGCTAACCTTCCAGCCAGGGAGTTTATTCATCTCCATCTCAGCTCTATGCCAACTGAATAAGGTCCAGAAATTACGCCAACAGTTCAAGGCATGACACAATTTTAAAAATTAATATGTTATTATAAGTAACTCATTTATAGTTATATCAGATTTTTAAACAGTTGACTTTTCATTCTAGTCATGAGCTAATTGAGAATCAAAATTGAGACCAGGCATCAAGGATATTGCAAAGGTGTCCCTTAGAGCTATGCAGTATAATGGAGTGAAACCTAAACCCCAGGTAGTGAACATTAATTATTTTTTGACAAATATTTCCAATTAGTTAAAAACCTCTGAGTCATGGAGCAGGGCTTCACCTTACACGTGTACATCCATGGAGAAAATGTCCCAGTGCATACTTAGCTGTTGCTAGTTTGGTCACATTATGAGCTATTTACTGAGAATCCCTTCCTGGGGTGTTGATCTCTCCACAGAACAGGAAAATGTGAAGGGAGTGTGTTTTTCCTCCATCACAGCTTATTATCTTACTTTTATGGCATTAACCAGAACATCCAACACTAACATATGAGATTTCCAATTATTCTTATTTACTTTTCTATGCCTCTTTGAAGTGCTATGAAGAACAGTATTTATTAGGAAGCAATAATCCAGGAGAGAGATGTGCAGGTGTTGATTGATAAGAAGTTCAACACGAGCCAGCAAAGTGCATTTGAAAAATCTGACCTTGTCCTGGGCTGCATCAGGAGCAGTGTGACCAGCAGGATGATGGAGGGGGTTCTCCCTCCCTGCTGCACTCTTGTGAGACCCCACCTGCAGTGCTGAATCCAGCTCTGGGCTCCCTTGTGAGAAGGAGCAAGTCCAGAGGAGCCATCAGGGTGGTACAAGGGCTGAGGGAGTTGGGAGTGCTCAGCCTGACAAGGGAAGGCTCCAGGGAGACCTCACAGAGCCCTTCCAGTGCCTAAAGGGGCTCTAAGAGAGCTGGGGAGGGACTTTGGACAAGGGCCTGGAATGACAGGACAAGAGGGAGTGGCTTTGTAGGGACAGAGGGCAGAGTCAGCTGGGATTTGGGGAGAAATTCTTGACTGTGGGGGTGGTGAGTCAATGGAAGAAATCACCCAGAGAAGCTGTGGCTGCCCCATCCCTGGAAGTGTCCAAGGCCAGGTTGGGTGGATGTTGGAACAGCCTTATCTAGTGGGAGGTGTCCCTGCCCATTGGAAATTGGTGATTTTTAAGGTCCCTTCCAGCCCAAACCAGTCTGTGATTCCATGACCCTTCAGAGATGTTACAGGTCTGTGAAGCAGCTCTTGGCCAATCTGCTGTTAAAGAATTCCTTCATGTGGGAAGCTGAGAAATTGTACATGTTCATCTCTACTAAATCTTGCTTTCTGAAGGAGGAGGCTGCAACAGGCAGAAACAAGGACTGCTGCTCAGGTACACAGGAGAAACAACTAAGCAAAAGCAAAAATTTAGAGTGATCAACCATCAGCAAAGATTCCTGCTGGCCAAGGAATCATGTAAATGCCAGAGCAAAAGAGCAAAAGAAAATAAGTTAAATGTTATTTTCCACCAACAGGTTGTTGCCAATGCTACACAAGTTATTACAAACTTTAAGTTTAAAAACCTATTATGGCACTTCACCTATCACTTAATACTGAGTAATTTAAAAATGACAAGACCATTGATAAAAAGTAAACACAATTCTGCTATCCATTAACCTTTTTTGCAAACAGACACTCCAGCATTTGGCTGAAAGAACACATTGTGATCCCTCCTCCAGAGCCATGGGTCCCACTCAGCATACATACCTTTGACATCAGGATTAAACACACCAGCAGCTACACCCACAAGCCTCTGATGCTGGATGTGATCAAATTCACAACAGGTTACAGCACAATAAAGTCCACACGAGGCAGCAGGCTGATACAACTGTAAAAACCAATGGATCATATGTTAAAGACCACACTTTTTCCACAAATGAAGGACTGCATGCAGAATTATATTAGAAACAGATGCATGTGTAAATAAGCAAAATGACCTTTGAAATTTAGAAATAGAATCAGAACATCTTTTAATTTTATTGACTTATTTGCTTCATAAGTAGATATGCATTTTTATGGCCTGTTCTGATGCTTATCAATCACATTGCATGTTCAGGTCCTGATTAACTTCCTGGGGTTACACTAAAACCAGAAGCAGAATTTCTAAAGCACTTTGGCAAAGCCTTGTTTTTATAGTAATTCTGACATAATCAAACCCAGCAAGCTCTAGAAATGCTTTGGAAAAATATATTCCCATTGCTTGATTGCAGCATTTTTGGTTAAGATATCAGAATTCCTAAACACACCTAGAATAAAAAGCACTGGGTTAAACTAAAGAGAAGGAAGTTTATGGGGAGGTGTTCAGGCAGTCTTCCTAGCAGTCAATTAGGCACTTGAATCCAAGATCTCCACAGATGGTTAAAAAACAATCTAGACAAAGATATCACAAATAGACTCAAATACATGAAAAGCAGGATGTTCATCTGGTCACAAGGTCACAAAGGCTCTTTCCACCCTGCACCAATTTTATTCAAATACTATACAATGACAACCAACTATATTTTTAGATAATTAGTTCTGAATTGCACTTCAGTACAGCATCAGTATTGCTAATCCCAAAAATCCTACCGCTTTTTTGAAAAACCATTCTCTTAAAAAAACAGACTGAGATACTGGAAGTTAAGTGGACCTGGGTAAAAATACAAGAGTTTATAGAGCAATTTACCAGATTGCAGGTCCTAAGAAAAGCAGTTCCTTTCCCACTCCATAAATATTCATTCTAAATATTTAGTGAGTAAGCTGAATGGTTATTTTTATAAACATGTGTCTACAAAACATATGGATTCTTACTGAAAAAACACTAGGAAAAATAAAGCCTCTTTTCACCATGTGCTAGTGCAGTGTGCCATGCCTTGCTTTTCAGGAATACTGGTTTTATCTCAAGAGTATAAGCTAAAATATCGATTTATAATGAAAATTTGATTATCTTAATTGCAATAAAGCAAATTATACACTTAATAGGATGTGCATGCTCCTTCCAAGCAGCTTATTGTATTGCTGTATCAGTTAAGAAAGCAATATGCCATCTGCAAATGTTTATGTATGAAATCCTGCAGAGGGAAAACATTTGAACTGCAGAACAGATTAAATACTTGAAAATGAAATTGCATGATAAGGTGTTTGACAGGGTGGAGGGAAGCAGCACAGTGGAGGAAAATCCATCCCCATGACTACTGGTCCTTCCTCCTCGCTGCTCACTGCTGTTCGTCTCCTCTTGGATTCCAGAGCTTGTTTGAATCCTCAGCTGCCTTCCCACAGCCTGGCAGCCTCAGCACTGCTGCAAAGTGGGGATCTGTGCTTTGCTTCACACAGAAGAAAGGAGAGTTTAAGTGTGGCTTTAGGAGACATGGCTGTGCTCTGGACTCTTTTGTACAGAAAGAAGATGTGTTTGCTGGCTCTGAGGAAAAAGAAAAATTGTTAAAGCAGTGTGGATATGACTTGAATTTTTAACCAGGTAAGAAGTCAGAAAATCAATAGAACTATGACAAAAGTTACTGAAATATCTTTTAAAGCATTATTTTATTCTCTGTAATAACCTATATTTAAAATTGAATGTAAATTTTCCTCCACATTTTATCTGTGCGATACTTAGGAACTTAATAAGGTTTGTAATTGAAACATTGTTGGTCAGCTTGAAAGGATGGGACTGTTCATCTTTAGCATAGGTAAGAAAATACTGAGGAAAGAAAGCCTTTCTAAAACTCATTTTATTTTAAACCTTTCTTTTGCTTATGAACATTTCAATAATGTTTCTGCAGATAGAGGAATGAAACAAGACTGGGGGTTTATAATATTTTACAGTGTTAAACTCTTACTATGGTAGAGAATCTTTTCCAAAATGCACGGATTAGGGCTTGAAGTAATTAGTTCTTTTTGTTAAACACTTTAATTCTGGTATCAGCTGTAGCTGTGATCCAAGGATGCTGATTCCAATAACATTCATTTATTAGATTAAAAAATGCCAGTATGTATTACAATATAGTTCAACATGCTGTAGTGAATACTAGAGTAACTTACTTTTTAATGCTATGAATGCTCCAGATGTTTACCAAGACAGGTGAATTTGTTTTATTGCCAAGGAAATGTTTAAATTGCCTTGCAGAATGGTGTGTACTAAAGACTGCACTCTTTAGCTCCCAGCACAAACCAAAGAGTGAAAAGAAATTGCACATTTTCCTGAGAAAAGGACAGTGAAATGGAGAGTGTGCCTAAAACTGATGTAGCAAGTGAACTGGTTAGGTCAGTCCAGGGACTTTTCCCAAACAGAAAATGCCAGAGAAGCCCCAACACCCTGAATCCTTGGGAGAGGACATTCAGAATTTGCTATCAAGCTGTGTTGTGCATCCATGGAGAGATAAACAAGCTTTGCAAATAGTGCATAAAATATTACAAACTTGGCTCAACCTCATGGCCTTTTGAGTCGCCCACAGCTTCTCCTCCTCACATAAAAAGCAGGGAAGAGCAGAGTTTGTCTTTGAAGGATCAGGTCTGTGCCAGCCAGGTGGACTGCACAGGACTGCAGAGAAACATCACCCCTGGGGTAAATCCAGGCTTTAGATCCTCACACTTCTGAAGTGGCAGCAAATCTCATTGGGGCAACAGCTGCCAAGCTGCCATTCAGTGCCTCTGTCCTTCCAGCACAAACACCCTTGGGTGTGAGAACCCCAGCCAGGCAGCCAGGGCTGCTCCAGGGAAAGGTGGGTGACAGTGCCCTCCTGAAGGGGCTGCTTGTCATGTATTTGAGTCTCTTTGTGATATGTATATATATCTATATATATTTACCCAGCCACACCATCAGGTTGTGCAGGATGTGCCAGTCAGTGACAGTCCCTGGCCTCAGGAGCAGAAGAGTTTGTGGAGCCTGGTGGGCACACAGTGGAGCACCCAGCTCTGGCTCTTGCCCTGCTGAACTGGGGACACCTGCAAGGGACTGCAAAATCCATTAGAGCCTCCAGACTTGCACAGTTTTTGCAGAAGGATTGTAGTTTTCCATGTCATTCCCCAATGATATAAAGTCTCCTCAAGCCAAGTCTTATAAGCTCTTGGAGATTTATACCACACCTGAGATATAGCTCAGCTACCTTAGAAGGCATAAAATCAGCAGGATGGCTTCTGTGGTAGTGTTGGAAACAGAAAAGTTTTAATAAAAGGCAAAATAACAAAACTCTTTACAGAAAAACCCCGAGCCAGGTGCAAGAGGTTCTTGCTCCTGGTAAAATATCTCACAAAAGTGATTAGCTTCTTTGTTCTCTTCTCTTTCTAGTAAATTGCTTTGGTGAGACTTTTTGTCTCCTGTCCAATTGGTTATCCCTAAGTTTAAAGTGAAGTCCCCAAAGTCCTATGTGGGTTTTTTTACCTAATAGAGGAGAGAAACTTCTGAGCTTTTTTCCTTTTTAAGGAGACAAAAGATACTTTTGTCACTCTGTCAACAGAGAGCCCATTCCTATTCCCCAATATAGCTTTAACCAAGCCAGGTACATTCTGTAGGAAGATTACAGGGCTTAATGCCAGCCCTAACCACAATTTAAGTCATTTTGGGGGCATCAGGGCCACACAGAGTCACATATATCTACAGCCACTTCCCACTCCAACATGAGTAAGCTGTTTTAATATTTTAATCAGAATGAAACTGGTAATAGATGCTCCAAAGGCGAGCATGGTGCTTTTTGGAGATTTTTTAGGGTCCTAATTTGAAGCACCCAAACTTCAACAGAAGTATCAGGATAAAGCAGTCCAGGATATAACTCTGGCTGGAATATTCTTTGAGTGTCTGTGGGAAAACAACTACAGAATCATAATTCCAGTTTAACCCTGGATTTAGTGTTTAATTTTGCACAGGCAACCAAACTTTTAAAAATCCTTAGTGATTAAAAAATGGCAACCATTTCTGTGAAAGGGCTGACAATCTTCTACACAAAAGCAGATTTTTTCTAGTAATAACTAAACATCCACCTATCCCTTCTTCTTTTTGTGTATCCTCTTATGTCCCACTGATTCTTCATTCTCCTTTCTCCACAGGCTCTCAACACCATTCCTAGGGGTGAAGAATGATCTCCTTCCAGCTAGTTTTCCAGTAATTTCACTGGGGAATTAAGGTGAGTTAAACTTGAGTTTTGAAAGATATATGTGTAGAACATATATCCATTACCCATTTTTAAATTTTAAAATAGCTCTTTTCATACTTAGCTTTTCCTTTCCCAGGTTGGAAACAACCTCTTTCCAGCCAGAGAGCTGGTGAGCTTTTAAATTAAGATTAAGTTTTGCACTTTTGATATATTCAAACCCATCAAGATATTCTGTTGAACCTAACTTTTCCCATTAATATAAGTTTTAAAACCACAGAACTGTTCTAATCCCAGATTTTTTTGCTTGACTCCTGTTTGAGCTGAAAGAGGAGTTATTTTCTGTATAAGTACAATGTGAACTTTATTTTGTTTACATTTTTCTCAGGTCAGATCTAGAAAAAAGGACATACTATCTTCAATGCATCAGTAGAACAGGAAACTCCCTTTTAGATATATTCATAGAGGTTTTGAATGTCATGATCTCAAGCACACATAACCTTGATTAATTCAGGAGGATTGAGTGTATTAACTCACATTGCTTTGTAGTTCTAAAGAAAATCTAAGTGTGATGTCTAAGCTAGCAGAGTGATGGCAGGACCCAATTCTTCTTTTCTGGTAATACAAAAGCAACAGATTATCCTCATTGGAATCCATTAAACCTTCTTAAATCTTCAGCAGGGACAGATCTTAGAATACTTTATTCTGAGAAGCAAACTTCATCCACAACTGGTAAAAGAGGATTTGTGGGAGAGTGTCTGTACAAGTTCAGTCAGAGCTGCTATCACAGCTGTTTCTTGTACATCAGTTATAGATCTGTAGCACAGTCAGTGCAGGACCTCAGAGAGGTTCATCAACCTCCTTCCACAGGGATGCATAAACCCACTGATAAGCATCTGCTTTTCCAGTTCTCTAATTAACCATGTTAGATTTGCTCCAAACTTTAAGGACACTGACTGCAACGATAGACCCACAGTACTCACTGCTTTGAAAATCTCCATGCAAAGGTGACTTTAAATACATTTAAAATTTAAATACATTACATTTTAAATAATGCAAGGTTTTGTCCATAGGTTGGAAGATGCTTCAGGATGGATAAAGCTGTTCAGCACCCCAGCGAGACCCTGAATCAAACTATCTCTAACATTAGCCTTTCCCAGTTCTTGAACTTTGATACATGCCACCTTTCCTCCCTTGCAGAATTCTTGCTAATTACAGCTTACACATTGGTTACACTGGTGGGGCTCGTTGGAAATCTTTGCCTAATTATTATAATAAAGAGACGGAAAGAAGCTCAAAATGTCACCAACATTTTGATTGCCAACCTCTCTTTATCAGATGTCTTGATCTGTATCATGTGCATTCCTGTCACAGTGGCATACACCTTAATGGACCACTGGATATTTGGGGAGGCAATGTGTAAAATAGGCTCTTTCATACAAAGCCTGTCAGTCTCAGTCTCCATTTTCTCACTTGTACTCATTGCTATTGAGAGATATCAGTTAATTGTGAACCCACGTGGCTGGAAGCCCAATATTTCACATGCTTATTGGGGAATTCTTTTCATCTGGGGGCTTTCCCTCATCATATCCACTCCTTTTTTAGTATTCCACCAAATAACAGATGAACCCTTCAAACATTTGTCCTTCCACAGCGATTTCTACAAGAACAAGGTGGCTTGCATCGAGGCATGGCCATCTCTTACAGAGAGGCTGATTTTCACCACCAGCCTGCTGGTTTTCCAGTACTGCTTCCCACTGGGCTTTATTTTTATCTGCTATCTCAGGATATTTGTGTGTCTTCGAAGGAGAAGGGGTAAAATAGACAGGATGAGAGAGAATGAGAACAGGCTGAGTGAAAACAAAAGGATCAATATGATGCTGGTGTCAATAGTGGTGACCTTTGCAGCTTGCTGGCTGCCTCTCAATATATTCAATGTGGTTTTTGACTGGAACTACGAGGCACTAATGAGCTGTAATCACAACCTGGCATTTACAATCTGCCACCTTGTGGCCATGATCTCGACATGTATCAATCCCATCTTTTATGGATTTCTGAACAGGAATTTTCAGAAGGATTTGGTAGTGTTAGCTCACCACTGCAGGTGCTCAGCATCACAAGAGGAATATGAAAATATTGCCCTTTCAAACCTGCAAACAGATGCATCTAAGGGGTCTCTGAAGTTAAATAATCCCCATGTGGATATATAAAAAAATCTAATTGCAGTTTCCAAAATTCTGTATTTTGCTGCAGATGGCCTCTTTCTGCAGGTCTTGGTCATGTTACCACCAGGTTTAGAGGAAGTCTTTGCCATTTAGTTCAGCAAAACCAGGATTATGCTCCCACATAGGCATGGTATTAACAGGTACTTTATGATAGTATTAATGCTGGTAAAACCACTTCCAACAGCCCTAAAGATCAATCATAATAAATTATAAACAGTATTAACACCTTACTTTTTTTAATCCACAGTTTCCCAGTCACTGGCATGCTACCTTAACTCCAATAAAAATGTTTCCATTTCAGCCACTGACGGGGTTGTCCTTCCTAAACACCTGGCTTCCCCCAGGTAAACCCTGAGCACTCTGCTATTCCCAACTTCAGCAGCCTTTCACACACTGTTTTCTGGCATGTTTATTTTCCAGCCCTACACCAATGCCATCCCTGATGAATCTGCATTCATACAGTTCACACTGTAAGGAAGGCCCTGGAAGTTATTCTAAGACTCCATCACCTTCCTTTCAGCCCCCTCATGCAGTTTGCTTTGGCTCAGAAATTTTAACAAGAGAAAAGGCTAGAGCTGGACTTTTTCTTTTTTATGAACACTAAAACAGGACCCATTTGATGTACTGCAGGTTTCACTCAGAATGATGTTGTTCAAGATGAAATATATATTTAGCATCTCTCCTAAAAGCATTGCATTCTCCAAAACACCAGTACAGACCACTGTTTTCTCTCTTATCATCCTCACTGCTCCTTACAACAGACCTTTTAGAATGTCCATTACCAAAGCAACTCACTATGAATTCAGAATCAATTTTGTTCTAGCTACTTACTCAGATTTCTCTTCCAGTAGAAAATTAGGTTTGCATTTTAGTTTCAGCAATATTTTCCCCCACATTTCTGCACTAGCAAGAGGGCAGACTTGAGTAGATGTGTTCATTTCTGTTCACAGAAACACAATTTCTGTGTTTGAAAGCAGTTTCTTTTGTAACACAGTGCAAAGAAGCCTAGAGGGAGAATACTGAGGACAATTTTTCTTAAACTAAAACATTTTAAAAACCACTTTCCAGTGTGGCCATAAAAAAGTAGCCAAACTTCTTCTTTACCCATGATATAGTGGCAACATAAATAATAAGTTAATATTGAGCTGTTTAAACACAGTACTTAGAACACTTTAGTCCAAAAACTCACCAGGCTTCCTCTTGTTCAAATTCAATATAATTAATTACTTGTACTGCCAAAGCCCCTTCTATTTTTTCTAGTGAGTTTCAAAACCCCTTATTCTAACACTTGTACATAAGGTCCCTTGTAAAGTATTATCTAACTTTAGCAATTTATTAATGCCCCACTTAAGCAAAAAGCATTCACATTCAAATTTCAGTGAGCTCCTTGATGACTCAGCTGTGATGGAACTCACCTTAAGGCTGTGAAGTTCTCTTGCAGAGGGAGCACTGCTTTCCACAGGCATCACGTTCCTAAAGGCTTTGGGCACAGCTCTCTTGTTCCAGCATTAGTTCAGAGTGCCTGCACACCCTGCTCATCAGAGGAGCTCTGCCACAAGAGCCTCAGCAGCTCCTGCAGATGCTCAGGTTTGTTAAATGTCCCCTGATCCACGCTGAGATAAAAGACCTCAGTGAAATCTCTGTGTCTGAGCCCTTAGAAGTCATCAGGGCAGCCCCATCACAAGAGCAAGGATGGCAGAATTAGTGACATGGTAATCAAGTATCTGAGTGATAGGTATGGATTAGCTTTGGCATAATTTAGGGGTTTTTTCTAATTAAATCAAATATCATGCATTTGGAATTGATTACACAAACCTTAACACCTGCCTTGTACATCATAGAAAAGAAACCAGGAGACAGCTAAATGCCTAAAAAAGGCCACTGATCAGACTGCTGAGAGTTTCTCAGCATTGACTATTTCTGTGAACTTCCACCCAGGTCACTGGGCTGCCTTTATTGTTGATGTGTTCATCACAACAGGCATTACATTGAGTTTAGAGCAGTAACTAAATTAGTGACACTGAGGCTGTTCAGGGTCAGAGGGGCTGGGCTTTGGTCAGGGGGAGGGGATGGAGCTGCTGCTCTCACCCCTGAGACCCCTGGGTAACCAAGGGATGCACTGTCTTCATTGCACCTGGCTGCACTGAGAGCAAATCTGATCCAGGATCTTCACTTTTCCTGGGGATCCCAGTACCTGCACTGAAAACCATCTGCTCCTCTCAGAAGGTCATTTCCTAACAGTGTTTTAACAAATGCTGGTGTCACAACTGTATCAACTGTATTTCCCTGGCTTTGGAACACATACCTCTCTCACCCATCTTCCTCAAATTTAAATACACTGTTTACAGCTTCAGAGCCCATGTTTAAAGCATTTTAGAAGCACATGAAACTCACAATTTAATTTATTAATACTAGCACAGCAGTTCAGATTGCTCTCATTGGCAAATATCTCAGTATTTAAAGTTTGAATCAGGCCCAGCTGAGATTTCCACGTGTGAGCTTGGCCTGAGTGGCTCCCATCCCATCCCATCCCATCCCATCCCATCCCATCCCATCCCATCCCATCCCATCCCATCCCATCCCATCCCATCCCCAAGCCCAGGTGTTCTTACTTTTACAGCAGAGGTGGTTTCAGTATCATGTTCCAAGTGGTTTTAAAGCAGCCATGAAATGAATTCTGGTTCAGATAATGTGATGCTGATGGATGGTCTCTCTGCTGTCTCTCCATGGAAGTGCTTGGGCAGTACGTATTAGACAGGCAAAAAAAAAGAAGATTGCCATCACTTTTTGTAATAGCAATTGTCTACTCCTGACATCCTGATCAGAGTTAAGCACTCAATTTTTCCTTCCAGTCTGAAATGCTTGGCATAAGAGGGTTCTTCATTAGCAGGTGGGAGCTCTCTGAGCAATGACACTGCTTCAGAATCAAAAGTGAACAGTAATACTTGTGCCTTGATTTCTCCTTCTCATTTCTTTCTCACAATTTCACTTGACTCAAGTGTTGATGGATGCTCCATTTCTGTCCTGAGCATTCAGTCATCAAGCATCTCTCCTTAGAGCTGCACTTGCAGCAATCATTGTTAACAGAGCAGAGGATCCTCGCTGTCCCAGACGTCGCTCAGTGCTGCACATTCTCTCCCTGCATCCACTGCCTTCCTGTGTATCCTGGTCCTGAACTTCCAAGCAAGTCAGGAGGAGCCAATTGACTGTGACAGGAATAGGAACAAAGAGGAATCACTTGTTTTTAAAGCATAAGTATTATGGACTCCAATATGGTGTGTGACAGCAGTAAATGTAATTGCAATACCTGGTACTTAAGGATTGCTCAAGTTGAACTGGCAAATGTTGCCCTGGCTTGAGTGATGCTGATGACTTTATTTTCTCTTGTTTTATTGGTATAGCCAAGTAGAAAAAAATACTAACAGCATTTCTCAGCAGGAAGTTGTTACCTGATGCAACCAGCTGGAGAACTGTGAGCTTCCTTGGGGAAGCAGCACCATGGAACTAACTACAGAAAGCTAGAGGGGGAGCCTGAACTCCCAGTGCTATTCCAGCATTGAAAGTCTTAGTTTTTAAAAAATAAAAGCTGTGTCAGAGCTTTGTTTGAGTGGTTTGGTCATGCAGATCAGACCAATATATTTATAAACATCCTTGTAAATGAACTGTGTCCTTATATGTCTGTGTATTTTATGGTTGATTGGTTTCACTTTAAGCACCTATAACCTTATAACGAGGGTAAGATACTTGGGAACTGCCATTCACTGTGGAGATGATTCCATTGAGCAAAGAGTTCAATTAATTATTGACTGTAATCCTGTCTGTGGACAAAGGCAGTGCCAGTGCTGTGTGTGATTTAAAGACTTTGATTTCTCCCATTGACTGATAAATAAATATTGCCCTGTGTAAAACCATCCCCCTGGCCAGCTGTGAATTGTACTGTCTGTAACTGGAATAGGACATTTCTCATTCAAGCAGGGCACCAGAGCACCAAGAAGCACCAAAAGGTCCAAAGAAAGATCCAGAGCTCCAAGAGAGATGCAGAGCCTGCTGCAGGTTGAAGGGATGGCCATGGAGGGCACAAAGGTACTCAGGAAGGGACCAGAGCAAACTTCAGATGTGTGATGGAGCTGCTGACCCAGAGGAGACAAAGGAGGAGGAGGAGAGGACACAAAAACTGCTCTGAGGAGAAGCTGTGACCTCCAGAGATGTCCTGACAAACCCAGAGGGGTACAAAGCACACTCCAGAGATTGTGTGTGTGCTACGGTGACCCTTTAAATCATCAGGATGAGAGAAGAGGGGGATAAAAAGACACATAGAAAAATTAAAAAGCAACAGGGTATGTGACAAATGAGAAAAAAACCTAAAAAATAGGAATAGCCAGCTCAATTACAGGAGACAGAAAGAAAACTTTTAAAAGCTAAGGGGTACAAGGCAGAGGAAGAAAAAAAATGAGAACAGAGACAGAAAACTAGATAAAAGTACACAGAGAAAAGCAATTTAAAAAATGAGAGGAGAGTGAATCTGTAGCAAAGCTTTGAGAAACCTCACAATGAAGGAAGGGTCAGACAGGCTGCAGAATTGAGTGGAACCTCACAGACTCCATAAACAACATTGTCCCTTCAATTCTATGCTAATAAGACACTTAGAAATATTCCATGATGGCAACTGTAGAATTATCTTGTCTGCTATCACTCATTTTTAAACAAGATTCCTTTGGTTTCCATGCAAATGCACTGACTGATGCCTTTTATTTAATTTCCATTTCATTTCATTTCTTTCATTTCATTTCATAGATTTCTCCATTAGTCACAGGCTATTTACATAATGTGATGGAATTGGCACATGTGGAGCTGTTCTCTGCAGAATTCGCTTCACTCTCACACCTGGTGAGGAAAACCTGTTAATTCATGTAGGTGTCAGGGTTGTAACACTCCATGAATTAGCTTTTCCAGCCAGGAATGGCAACTAGAGCCACAAGAAGCTC